GAGGCAAGAATACATAGTGGAGAAATGAGTCTCTTCAATAAGTGGTGTTTGGAAAACTGGACAGCTACATGTAAAAGAATGAAATTAAAACATTCTCTAACAACATATACAAAAGTAAACTCAAATGGATTAAAGACCTAAACGTAAGATCAGACACCATAAAAGTCCTAGAGGAAAACATAAGCAGAACACTGACATAAATTGTAGCAATATTGCTTTCAATCTGTTTCCTAAGGCAAAGGAAACAAAAGCAAAAGTAAACAAATTTAAAAGCTTCTGCACAGCAAAGGAAACTACTGACAAAAGACAATCTACTGAATGGAAGAAAATATTTGCAAGTGTTATGACCAATAAGGGATTACCATCCAAAATACATAAACAGCTCATACAACACAATATCAAAAAACAAACAAAAAAACCAATTAAAAAATGAGAAGACTTGAATAGACATTTTTCCAAAGAAGATATACAGATGACCAAAAGGCACATGAAAAGATGCTCAACAATGCTAATCAGAGAAATGCAAATCAGAACCACAATGAGATATCACCTCATACCTGTCAGAATGGCTATCATCAAAAAGAACACAAATAACAAATGTTGGCGAGGATGTGGAGAAAAGGGAACCTTTGTGCACTGTTGGTGGGAACGTAAATTGGTGCAGCCACTGTGGAGAACAGTGTGAGGATTCCTCAAGAAAAAACAAAAATAGAACTACCATATGATCCAGCAATTCCACTCCTGGGTATATATCCAAAAAAAAAAATGAAAACACTAATTCGAAAAGATACATGCACCCCAATGTTCACTGCAGCATTTTTTACACTAGCCAAGATATGGAAGCAATCTAAGTGTCCATCAACAGACAAATGGATAAAGAAGACGTATATACTAGCCATAGAATATTAGCCATAGAAAAAGAATGAAATTTTGCCACTTGCAGCATTGTGGATGGACCTGGAGGGTATTATGCTTAGTGAAATAATTCAGACAGAGAAAGACAAATACCATGTTGTCATTTGTATGTGGAATCCGAAAAAAGAATATAACAAAACAGAAACAGACTGACACAGAGAACAAACTAGTGGTTGGTTACCAATGGGGAGAGGGAAGGGGGAGAGGCAAAATAGGGATTTGAAATTGTCATAGTTAATACCTAACTGCATAAAAGCTGTACCAGTCACATCCCCAGTATAGGGAGAGCCTTCCCCTCACACCGTGCCAGCTCGGCTGGACGGGTGCCCCCACCAAAACAGCTCTCTCAGTACAGTGATTTTCTTTTTTTTAATAAGAGTTGGCTTTTTTTTTTTTCTTTTTCTTGTTGGCTGTGTTGGGTCTTTGTTGCTGCGCGGGCTTTCTCTGGTTGCGGCGAGCGGGGGCTACTCTTCATTGCGGTGGCTTCTCCTGTTGCGGAGCACAGGCTCTAGGCGCATGGGCTTTAGTAGTTGTGACACACGGGCTTAGCTGTTCCACGGCATGTGGATCTTCCCGGACCAGGGCTCGAACCCCTGTGCCCTGCATTGGCAGGCAGATTCTTAACCACTGCGCCACCAGGGAAGCCCCTTTAATATTTATTTAGTTGGCTGCACGGGGTCTTAGTTCCAGCACTCAGATCTTCGTTGCGGCATGCAGGATCTAGTTCCCCAACCAGGGACCGAAGCCAGGCCTCCTGCATTAAGAGTGTGGAGTCTTAACCACTGGACCACCAGGGAAGTCCCAGTACAGTTTTGTTTTTTGTTTTCAGTACGCGGGCCTCTCACTGTTGTGGACTCTCCCATTGCAGAGCACAGGCTCCGGACGCGCAGGCTCAGCGGCCATGGCTCACGGGCCCAGCCGCTCCGTGGCATGTGGGATCTTCCCGGACGGGGGCACGAACCCATGTCCCCTGCATCAGCAGGTGGACTCTCAACCACTGCGCCACCAGGGAAGCCCCCCAGTACAGTTTTAATACGCCTGAGGGCGAAGTCTGTCCACCTTTCAGAGTTGGGGTCATGTGACTTCCCTCCATGGGGACTGACCACGGCCTCTGTCTTCCTTTCATCGGGTCTTTTTTTTTTTTTTTTAACTTTTACTGGAGTACAGTTGCTTTACAACGTTGCTAGTTTCCACTGTATAGCAAAATGAATCAGCTATACGTATACATATATCCCTTTTGGATTTCCTTCCCATTTAGGTCACCACAGAGCACCGAGTAGAGTTCCCTACACTATACAGTAGCTTCTCATTACTTATCTGTTTTATACATAGTATCAACAGTGTGTATATGTCAATCCCAATCTCCCAATTCATCCCACCCCCTCTTCCCCCCTTGGTATCCATACGCTTTGCTCTCTACATCTGTGTCTCTATTTCTGCTTTGTAAATAAGATCACCTATACCAATTCATTGGGTCTTTTTCTTGGTTTGTAGGAGCTCTTCATGAAACAAGCCCTTTGTCACATGGGTTGCAAGTATTTTCTCCCAGTTTACCCTTGTATTTTTTTTCCAATTTTGCCAAGAAGAAATGGCAGGTAATTATGTAATTAAATTTATCAATCTCCTCTTTAATGACTTTGGGGGCCTGTGAGCTACAAAATAGGCCTTCTCCACTCAAGAGTATAAATATAATTGACTGCGTTTTTATGTGTGTTTGTGGTTTTACTTTTCACGTTTAAGTCTGAGTCATCGGGAACTTATTTCCATACACGAGTGAGATCCAATTGTATCCTTTCAGCTGCTTACCCAGTCCCAACGCTATTTATCGAATGATCCATCTCTCCCCTAAAGATATGGAAAGCCACCTTATACTCCAAATTTCTATTTTAAAGCCTAGCTTACCCAGCTGAAGTGATCCTTTCTGTGGCTTTCAGATTTGACGTGCAGTCCATTTCCCTATCCATCTTTAAGAGTTCTCTGTTTGTAGCCTTAAATAGCACTTCTGAGTCTGAGCTGACACAGCACAGGTGAGGCCACTCTTCCGCCCGCGATCCCGCCCGGCAGTAACATCTAAGCACACCGCTTAGAAGAGGCTCTGGGGTGCCACGTGTATTGCTTTATCTAATCTTCCCAGAAACTCGGGAGGTGGGGAGGTGATCCGAGGTCAAGGCGCAAGGTCGGGGTCTGCCGGCAGCACCAGGCAGGGCCGGCTTCAGCGGCCAGCCACCTGCAGTCCCGGCCCGTGCCCATCCTGGAAACCATCCTTCCCGCAGGGCGTGGAGCCACTGGGCCTCCCCGTGCTCACTGAGGGGCAACCTCACGAGGCTCGAAATGTCTGAAAAACGACGCAGGCGTAGCTCCTGGCCCAGGCCCGCGAGGGGCAAAGGCTCCCCAAGCAGAACCACGCGATGCTGGGTTCCTTCCTGACAGCTACCTGCCCAGGCCGCGCCCTGCTCCCTCCACTCTGGGGTCTTTCCTGGGGAGACACAGGCGTCAGTGCCAGCAACTTGCAAGGGCAGCTCGACTCCACCACGGGGAGCTCTCGGGCTGACAACTCCTAGTCTGCGATCCAGCCCCGACCTCTCGTGAGACCACACCTCCGCCCGCGTGCTCTCAGGGACCGAACTCAGCAGCCCAGCACTAAACTCGTTTCCTCCAGAGAGCCTGCTTCCTCGTCCTGTTGCTAAAATGCGTCCACAACCCAAGCCAGACGCGTGGCAGACACGCCCAACAGGAGGTCCTGAGTTAACAGTTACCCTGCTGCCTCGTGGTCCTCGTGGTCCACGGGCCAAGGCCTGGCCTGGGAGGAGAGTGTAGTCTGTTTTTCCGCGATGCCACCTCGCACGTCAAGGGTGTGACATGAGGCTGGAAAGAGAGGGGCGGGACAATAACCCACCCTTTGGGGCCCTGGGATTGGTGGGGAGAAAGAGGAAAAGGCGGAGACGAAGCACCAGCGTGAATGGCTGGCAGGTGTGTCCCGAGGGCACCAGCCGCTGGTAGGAAGAGCCAGCACGCGGGGCGGAGGGGGCTGGGCGCCATGGCAGGCGGGGGAGGTCTTCGCACGTCCCCGCACAGCCCACCGTGGGGACTGGGACGCTGTGGCCCCCTCCGTCCCACACGGAACCATCCTCCACTAAATCCTGTCCCTTTTCCTTTAAGCAGTGCCATTCAAATTGGTCCTGGTCTCACCTCCTCCACCATCGTAGCTGCGTGTGTCCAGTATTCCCCCCTCAGGGACAGCTTCTCGAAACACGAGTGGCTGTATGGCTTCCTCGAACGAAAAAACACCCTCAAGGATAAATGTCAACCTTGCAACACTGCTAAGGGCAAACCCAGGCCTGCGCTCCCCGTCCCCCGCTCCCCCCCGCCCCGGCCTGAGCTCCTCCCTCCCTTTCCTCCGGGTCACCCCGTCCCTTTCCCGAGGCTGTGGCAGTGAAGGATCCCACCTTCTCCAGCCTGACTGAGAGCCCCTCGGGACGGTGACACTCCGCAGCGACAACAGAGAAAGAAGCGGACGGCCATACGTGCGCTGAAGACACTCTGACCACACTGTGCCCTGTCTGCACGCCGCTGCTTTCCTGCGAGATAACCTCTCCCCTGAGCGACCCCGGAATGACGCCCGTCCTCCAGCGTGCTCGATGCCCCTCCGTCCTCCCCCTCCCCCCGCTCAAACCACCGCACACTTAAACTCCTCGTGTCCAATCACGTCCCGCCTCGTCTGCTCCCAATGACCGCCACCCCCCCTCCTGTCGACCACAGGCTTGACGAGCTCGGAGGGTCCAAGGCCAGCGGCACCTGGACCAGCACAGGCGCCCGAGAAACGTCCGCAAGACCCCACGTCAGACCCCGCACAGGCCTCCTGCGCAGAGTCCTCTAACAATCAACGAAGGCTCCCCGGGCTCGGCCGCGTAGACCCCACTTAACCACGTACCTGGCAAGGTACAGGTGCTCAAGAAACTGGGGCGTCTGAAAGACCGGAAAGGTGAACGGAGGACGCGGGTCCCTCGGAGGGAGCTGCCCGGCCTCTGCGGGAAGGAGCCGCTTCAGGTCCGGCGCCCCCCGCGCCCCCCGGCGCGCCCGCTCACCTGTAGGCCCAGGGAGACACGCTGCGCAGGTTGGTGGGCGGCCGGAAGCGGCGGTCGGCGGGCCTGCCCCCGGCCGGGCAGCTGGCGTTGCGCGCCTGCTCGCGCGGGCCCAGCTGCAGCGTGTGGTGGAAGGCGCCGAGCACACCAGCCGCCAGTCGCCCGTACAGCTGCTCCAGAAGCTCCTCGGGCCGGTCCGCGCAGCCCCGCGCCCGCGCCGGCCGCCGGCCCGCCCTCGGGGCGCCCTCCGCCCGGCCCGGCGACAGCGCCAGCAGGACGCCGGCCACCAGCGCCCAGACCTGCGGGACAGGCCGCGCTCAGCGCCGCGCGGAGGAGGGGCCCGCGCCCCGCCCCGCGCCCCCGGGGCCCCGCCCCGCGCCCCCCGCCCCGCGCCCCCGCCCGGAGGATGGGTGCTGACCACGCCGGCCCCCGCGCGCCCTCCCCGCCCGCGCGCCGCCCGCGGGCACCCCGGGGCCCTCCCCCGAGGCGGCCCGCTCGCCCCCCGCCGCCGCCGCCCCGAGCAGGGGTCCGCGTGGGCCGCGGGTGCGCGGTGCGCGTGTGCGTGTGCCGGCCGGGCTGCTGCGCCGCGGGCTGCGAGTGCCTATGACGGCGTCCGGGCCCCTCGGCGGCCCCCGCGTGTCCTGGGCGCGCGGGCCCCACGAGGCGGCCCGGGACGGAGGGCGGCGGCGCCCGGGGACCGAGACGCAGCCGCTGCGCCGCGCACTCACCGGCGGCCCCAGCATCGCCCCGAAGTGGCTCCGGTAGTCGCGGAGGCGCGGACACGTCCCGAACGGAGCCGCGCGGCGCTGAGCGGAAGGAGGCGCCTCGGCTGGAAGGGAAGTCGGCCGGGTCCGGCCGCCGCGAAGAGCCTCCCAGACGAAGGCGCCGCGGGAGCGGGACAGGCACCTGGAGAGGCGCGCGCGGAGCCTGGAAGCAGCTTCTTCGCCACGACTTCCTCTGAGGGACTGGAGATGGAGAGCGTTCCGAACGGGGGGCGGGGGCGCTTCTCCTTCCCCCAGACACCAGGAAGCGGTCCTTATCTGCCCCACTAGCACCTCCGAAATACAAGCACCAAACATTCTACCCAGCTTGCACTTTTATGGCCGGAACTGGGCATCCTTGGGCGCTACAGGGTCGGGAACTCCTGCTTCGTGATGCCGGGACTGTAAGCGCGCGGTCATGTAAAATAAGCCTAATACTTTGTAAATAAAGAAAATATACTTACACGAGGGAATTCTATTTCAAGAACCAAAGCAAACGTGCTCGTTCGTTCATTCTGTAAATGAATGCTTAATGCTTTTTAGGTGGTGGGCTAGTGAATACGGTCATTTTACGGCAGTCATACTTGGCCAATGAAAACAAATGATTGGTAACAGCTGAAAGGTTTTCGAAGGTATAGAAAATACATAATTGATGGTTCTCTAAATGCTTTCCAGCTTTGGTATTTGACTGCCTTGTAAATCACTGGTTAAACTACATTTCAGTTATGCTGTGTAGAAAAACAACACTTGTATGCCTTGAATATTCTATAACTGAAGAGTTTAGGGATTGTCCTATTGACTGCTCAAAATCCCACAGAAATCTCCAATTTAAGCCATTTAAGCTATTTACAGCTTGGTGAGTAAACGTTTGTTTTGAGGTTACAAAACTTTTTTTCTGATTAGTAGAGAAATTGTGTTCTTTCTGGTAAAATGGGAATAAACATATCAGTACACGAACACATACTGTTTTTTTTTTTAAAGGTGGTAGAAGTGTGGGAATCCTTTAGGAGACAGCAGTTTCATCCTTTGAAAGGTAAGGCGATACAGCGCCAGACCGCTCATTCTATATATTATTCAACAAAATATCTTCCATTGTCTGATAACATGGCAACTTCTCTCTCCTTCCCTGTTACTTGGAAACGAAGGTATTTACTTTCCAACACTTTTCATTTTATGAAAGATCATAAACTACTGAAGATGCTTGCCCACTTGATAGAACATAAAATTCGTTTCTGTGATGCTAAACAGAGTTGAGAAATTGTCTTCTCAACAGGTGCAAAATGTCTGTAGTCAATTGCCCTCAAACCTGAACATATTTATGAACGTGTGAAATAAACATGCTCTTAGTTCAGTCCAACATTAAGACGAGTGAGAAAAAGGCAACAAAATACTCAAAAGCAGCCTCGTCATGTTCCCTTGGAAGCTAACTCCTCTACAGTGTTCTCCACAACGAGAGCCGTTCCTCTCTCAGCCCCTGGATCACTCAGTCCCCCAGTGCCAGACCGGCTGTAGCTCCCTGGCATGGGAGCCGGGGTAGGGGTGGCTACGTCCACTTACCTTCCTGGGTTACTGACAGATCCAAACCTCCTTCCCTCCTCCGAAGGTCAGGTCTCCCCACCAAGAGCCCTATCTGTCGTCTTCTCGGAGGTCCCACCACGCCTGCACCTCATTCCCGCACCTTTAACACCTGTGGAGGAGCCACCCAAGACCCGGCCTCTAACTGGCTACCCCAGCTCCACCTGCTTTCCCCCAGCACGTCTCGACTCTGGAAGCCTGCGCTCCCCCACGGCGACCCCTGCGCTCAGTACCGGGAGCGGCTCCCCGTCCGTCCGAGTGTGAGTGGCCCCTGACACCAGCACCTTCTCTCCGCACCTGTCCTGTGGCTGGCTGTCTGACCTCGTCTGCTGACCCTGCCTTTTCACCAGCCACCCCACGCGAGTCCTAGTTTCCCTTCTCGGCTGGGGCAGAGTTGGTGGTTCGACGCGATCACTACACCCCTGCAAATACCCTGGTCCCTTGTTCCTTTTTCGCTCTGTGACATCTGCCTGGAACAACCCCACTCTGTTCCGTTCATACAGCTGGGCGTGCGCCGCATCTCAGATGGCCATTCCACACGCGGGCCTGTCACACTTTCCGAGTTATATACTTCTCCCGAGATGACCACCTCAGAGAAAGGCAACCCCGGCCGTTCAGCGCCTCCGCCACAAACGCTGCCATCGTGCTTTCTCCTCTTGCTCACAACCCGCACACAGGCCACCGGTAACTCTCCTGAGCTCTCCCTCCCAAACGTGTGCTGGGCCGCACCGACCCTCACAGCCCCCAGGCGCCCCTCTCCCACGCAGGCCGCCCGCCCCAGCCAATCCCCTCAGGGCGGCGGGCTCGCTGCTCCCGAGGTTAGACCACGTCACGTCACGCGCCCTCCCCCAGCGAAACCTGCCAAGGGCGCCTTCGCTGTTACCGCGCAGCAGAGTGAAGCCTCAGGCGCCGCTGGGCTCCACGAGGCCCGGCCCTGCCCCGGGGGCCCCGGCCCTTCAAGCTCCCCACCGGCGCGCAACACCCCCGAAGCGCGTCTGCCTGCTGCTGATACAAATGCCCCTGGAGGGCTTCCCCAGCTCACCTCCTCCACCGCCGTCACGCTCCGTGGCACTCCTCCACTTCACTCTCTTCGCCGCCCTTAACAACACCCAAAGCCCATCAAAAAAATACACTTGTTGTCTGCCTCCCCCGCCAGAATTTACGCTCTTTGAGGGCAGGGCCTTGCTGTCTTGGTCACGACCGTAGCCTCAGACTCTCGCACACACTAGCCGTTTAGTGTATTTGGTGAACGCCTGCCCCATCAGATCATCACTTTTTCTGCGAGCAGGGAATGTGCTCTGGTTTTGGTGTCTCCTCTCCCGCACCCAACAGAAGTGTGCATGCCGTGGAAACAACGTAAAGTGAGGTGGAGGGTCCATCCTCTCTCGTGAAGTGTTACAGACCGGCCACGTCTCCCCTGACTGCCCACCACCGCACTCCTCTGGACGGGGCCCGCCAGCCAGACATACCGTAAGAAGGATGCACGCAGTCCTGGCTTCGACCCCGCAACCCCGCGTTTCACCGGGAAGCACAACTCGAGGCTGCCGCGCTCGGGGCTGAAGGGGCCACGGGCTGCTGTTCTCTCACTACTTTACTGCCCCCAAACAGCTGCTTTACTAGTGCTGGAATCCCCACAACGCAACACTTCCAAAGCGACTTACCTGAATACAGACTCATCAAGGGTACGTCCCAGCACAGCTGTCAAGCTGCAAACCATGAAACCACTAGAGTGTTTCCATTACTCACACGTTGTTTCAATGAAATTACAGAAGACAGCAGCACACGCTGTCGTAATCAGTGAGTAGTCATACTTACGTGTGTGGAGGTACTAGGGAGTGCTACAAGATCCATTTCTTACTGTGGGTCAGTGTTTTCAAGAGGGTAAGTCAGTCTCTGGCCTAAAGTATTATTTTCACATGTTTTTATTCCATTAAAAGCAAAACAAAATCTAAATCCATACTCATAGAACAGAATACACTTATTTAAAGTTTTGACAGTGTGCAAAATTAAAGTTTGGGTATTTAATCCAAACTTTAACGTGAGTATTATCTTGTAAGGCGATTCCTTCCCTCTAATTAATAAATAATACATTAAAATATATATTATTCTGGAAGCAAATCATCTCCTAATTCTTCATCAGCAAAATCATCCTCGTCGACTCTCTTTCTGGCTGCAGTTCTGGGTCTTTCTATTTGCGGGCCAAGCGGATCCACATAGGAGGCGTCTAGGTTTCAGAACAGATGGTTGCATTAGAGGAACAGGGAAAAACAGCAAATGTGAAACCAATGAGGCTCATCTTCAAAACTGAACAACCCAGAATGAAGAGAAACGCTCTCCCAAGTCATGTAAAACTTCTGTCTGTGCTGGAAAACCCTTAATAACGCCCAGGTGGACGCGTCTGCCCGTCCCTTCCAGTCCGGACCTGCCAGGCCCGGGCACTTGCCTAGCTCCTTGTTACTGCTGCTGTCGTAAGGCTCCTCCGTCCTGGGCAGGGCTCGGAGCTGGGCGCTGAGCCGCTCGCCTCTGCTACCGGCACCACAGTTCTGGCCGCCGTCTGGAGACACAGGAGCAAAAGCACATGTGTTCAGCACGGTGGGCAACATCACACTGCATTACAAATCTTAACGTCTACTTATCTGTCAAGAAACAGGAAGGCCGTTTCATCTGACAGCCAATTTCCAAAGGATGTAATCCTTGTTTTTCGAAATTTAAAAGAAATCTCTTGTTGGGAACCTTTGGTTGGGAACCAAAGCATCACTCAAGAGTAGGCTTCATCAGACCCTTTCCACCGTGTGCTTGGAGACACTGGCGAACACCCCCTGGCGCAGAGTAGGGCAGCGGGTGGGGGAAGGGGCTGGGCCGTCACCCACGTGGAGCCTGGGAGCCGTCAGAGGCCTGGGCAGGTGAGGGGCGGGAGAGGCCGGCGAGCCTGGCCCAGGCACCGCCCCCCAACTCTTCAGAGGCCTGGAGAACGAGTACAGAAGGGGTCAGATGTGCCCAGCAGAGGAGGATAGATTCTGGCCCAATTTAAGGAAAAACCTTAAAAGGATTATAGAGTCCAAATATGGAATGGAAATACTGCATAAGAGACATTCACACCCAAGACAGAATAAAAATTAGACTGAAAAACGCAGTAAACCATTAAGTATCACACGCGGTAAAGGACCAACAATTTTAACACAAAACCTTCATAACCCAGTACGCAGAGTCAGTCAGCAAACCCGCTGTCGCCCAAGGGCAGACGGGGCCGCAGGAGAGGCCACCTGTCCAGCTCCCGGCCTCGGGAACACGCTGTCCCTCTCACCCCTCATCCCCGCGGACGCTACGGGGCGGCCACGTGGACCCTGAACTCGTGGAGCTCAGCTCTGCCTGTGCACGTGCATTTGATTTAATTGTTTTTCTCAACTGATGTTTTGAACCGAGCTGTTAAAACCTGAAGCCAAAATTTTGCATTTAAGGGTAATGCATTTTTTATTTCACGTACTTAAAACAAGTTCATTTCATTTTAAGCTTATTCTGTAAAAAACAAACTAAAGTACTGAAAATCCTGCAAAGCTCTAAAGCAAACGCTGCTGCTTCCCAGCACGATTTGTGTAAGTGATAATAATAACACACTGTTTGCCCAGCATCGGCCCGAGCAGGCGGGTCTCACACCACCTCCCGGGGGGAACCCCCTGTGGGTGACGGAGCCCGGAGGCTGGGTGACCAGAGACTGCCACATACGTGAACGTGGGTTTGGTGGTAGTAGTGGTGGTGACCTTTTACATACACAAGGCCGCACGTAATCTGCATTCCCTCCTTTGAGATACAGCATTGGTTCTCCAGGTGTGGTCCCAGGACCAGCAGCGGCAG